ATTTTATTTCACTATTATTTCATTTCAGGTTTATTTTGCTTAATATAATTGTTATTTTCAGCTATTCATTTTTAATTATTCTTTTTAGTTGTTTCAGGGATTTCCAATCATTTTATATAGTAGACAATGGATGTCCGAACTAGTGAAATTAAAGTATCTGGCAATAACTTTAAAAAATAATATGAATACCAATGCTTGCTGTGTCATAAATTTTGTAATACACTGAATAGATTTGGAAATGTTCTGACGTATTTTCCAATTTACATTGAAGAAAATTCAACTTGGCTGATGATAAACGCTAAAATAAATAAAAATAATCAATTTCATATATAGGGTCTTTCATTGAGGGCTTCCTATCTTCAAATTTAAATAAAACAAAGTGTGCTTGAGATATCATCTGAATTTTTCTTTCGCATTTGAATGGCGTTGTTCAATCATTTGATTGAACGGCTATGTTAACCAGTTAACTGCGACATATCCACCACATTAGGAATAGTCCTTTCGGTAGAACGATTATGGCTACCGTAAAATGGGTTGAGCGCGCGGTACGTTGTCCGATCAGAATACGCGACAACTAATTCGACAGATATAGCTTCAACAAGACGGCTGTTATCTGAAGTCCTTGTTGAAAGACCCTGTATGTTTCAGGATACCCGAAATTAATAAAGATTACAGGTACAGCCCTAGAATGTGTTCATTGACAGTATCAAACTGCACAATATTCGTGATACCATGAATGAACCAGAATGTAAAGCTTGTTCATCAGATAAAATCATTCTCAAGTCCAATTAACACCAACATATTCGATAATCGACTGACGTTAACTTTGTTTTTCAGCAACAATCATAGTTTATGTCAGGTACAGACAAGTTAGAGATATCCTTGAAAAATTTGATTTCACTCCCCGCACACAAAAGGTGAATGAATGGACAGCATACTTGGGATGTATCGCCGCATTTGGTTGTATAATAGTGGCAGATTTTCAAGTAACCAATGTTTTCTCCGTCCACTTGATAGGAGCGTTTTTATGCTTTGGATTAGCAAATGTCTATCAGATCATTCAGGTAGACTATATTATCTATATTGATTTGAATAAATAAATTCCAATTTTGAATTCCGAAGAAATATCCATTCTGGAATAATACATTCATAGTTTTCAATATTTTTGTTGTACAGGAGGAATCATGATATTGAGTCAAAAAAAGAAATGTCAACTATGTTGCTAAACAAAAAACTCAAAAGTTTATAAGTGCTTCTATAAAATCTGGTATAGTTGAAGTAAATGATATATTGCAACCCATATAGTGGAACCTATCCTTTACTTCTTCCGCAATGCACAATGATTAGTCGCGATTCTTTGTTTGCAGGCTTGTTAGGCGTACACATTCTCGAACCATCAGCCCACCCTTTCGTAACTGTGTCGTGAGTGTCATACCAAGTTTCGTCTGAATAGAAAATTTGCCGTTGTTCTATATTTAGTAATTTGTTCTAAGTATTTGTTACGCAATTCCACTATTCTTCTGCTTTCCATAACTGCTTGACGTTTGTTTATTATTTTTAATCTAAATCCTAGTTTCTTTATCCAATTCCGAAGAGTTTTGTTATGGCCGAAAGTATTCAATTTCTTCCTTATGATTTCAGTTGTAGGAACCTCATTGCTTTTGTAACAGTCGTATATTGTTAGGTAATGTGCTACATATAATACTTAATTTCATATATTATATCTTACGTATATTTATATGAACAAATGTGGGTGTTCATACAATAATTTTACTATATGACCTGTATAATTAGACGTGGAAAACGAATATAGGATTCGTATGTTCCGATATTTGTTTTCCACATCTGTGTAACGTAGTCAATAAATCATCTATCCATCTAATCATTCTAATCCATTCCAAGGAGATTGACGAGATTGCTATGCAGGCAGGATTTAGATGATAAAAGTAAAAACCTGTATGAATACCTGAGTATTTCTCCATTTGTTGTCATGTCAATCTTGCGAGCAAAAATTCACCGTGCAGATGATATACACCTACTCTACTGAATCTCGACAAAAAAGATAATTATTCAATATCTGAAAATACATAGTCGCACATGGCATCATACTTTTCACAATCATATTCATTGCTATCTGTCAAATTCTCAAAATTCCTTAACATTAGCAAGCTCAATGATACAGGAGGTAGCGAAAGTCTAATTTGGACCAACCTTCCAGGAAAAGCATGCCTCGGAATGGATGAAGGACAGAATCCTCATTCTTTGAATATACTGATTCAATGTTGGAGACAACTCTCCAAACTTCCACAAAATAAACTCATCAAAAATGTCAGAACATTTGAAATTATCATGCTAGATATCATGACAAAATTCTTCTATGATGCACTGGTTTCATCAGTGAGCTTGCTTTTCTCAGGAAGTTTTCCACATAAACGGAGTTCTTCAAATGAAAGGGTTCTTTTATGCGCAGATAACTGATCATTCATACCATTCATACCATTTATTCATAAATATCTGTCGGGTATATTATGTTCATCGTGGTATTAGCCGGGAAAGTAGTTGTTTTTTGGCAAGCGTTTATCAGAATCTACTGTGGGAGAATGTAATATCTTCATTTTTTTTTGTTTTTTTAGGTGATGATATAACGAAATGGAAAAGACAAGACGGCGGTTACGATTTCCATGTAGCCAGCGCAGCATGCGAATATCTGATGTCTTTCTTCGTGATAATATTTTTCGTTACATTCACTGGAGAGTTTAGATCTATCCAGTTCGAAGAACCACAAATGACAACCTCATGATCCCGAAATTTCGGAGTTAGGTTTCAAGGACACAGATGAAATTTGAAATTGCTACGGTGAATACTGTTTTGGTCGGTTCAACGGAAAATTTGTAACGTATTTAGGAAGAGACGAGGAAGAGACGAAGCAGAATTTGATCTTTGACTCCGCAATACCAACGTATAAAAACAGTAGTAGGAATATGTTCCAGTCGGCACTGTGTTATATGTAATTGTGATTTGCAAAATAATGCCAAATATTATATTCAGGGAATTATGAAATATTTCTCATTTCAGCAAAAAAAAACAATAACNTGCCAAATATTATATTCAGGGAATTATGAAATATTTCTCATTTCAGCAAAAAAAACAATAACGAAGACTATTTTGAATGTTGTATAAAGTTAAATTTGAAATTATATCTAACGAATTTTTGATATGGCATTAGACAAGTTTCAAAAAAATATGCACTGTGATTGATATGAACTAATGATCAAGAAAGTTATTAAAATCTTTTATTTAACTTGACTTGTATATATGTTAACAAATCTTGCAAGTTTACCTAATTTGACGCACTTCCCGGTATCCGACTGACCTAAAATTTTGCATGCTGGTCCAGAACCGATGACAATGCATGTTGATCATAAACGTGACCTGATGCTGCTGCCAGGATCGGCTCCGTACGATAGATCACCTCAGCGGTAAATAGCAGGGACACCAAATTTTGTATACACAGTCGCTTATGATAGGCAGTTGGTAGGCTCACCATGAAATAGATGCCACATGCAGGGTTGGCTTCAATAAAAAAAATATATTTCTAGAAAAAAATCAAATGAAGCTTTCACCTTTGAATACCTACTTCCCGACTTTAAAAATAAGACACTAGATGGTGTAGTAGGTTGTGAGAACCCATATTTATTTGCATTGTGATAAAATAATTGCACAAGATAGTCTAATAGATTGTACTAGAAAAAATGATAATATAGATTTGAATAATATTATATCATCTGATATAAACAAGACTGGGGAGTTGTCTAAAGAGTTGGAAATATTTGTGGAGGCCAAGGTGATGTTGCGATACAATGTTGATGTGTCTAAGGGTCTAGTGAATGGCATCATCGGACATATAATAGAAAAATTATGGCCCTGTTTCCGGAGAGCACAACTGTATGACACGGACATTCCATCAGTCCGTATCGACTTCGGCAACGATGGAATCCACGTAATTCAACCGAAATCTGTGCAATTTCCAGTTAAATTCAGCCACGGTACGGCTCAACGTAGAATGTTGCCAATTGTTTCATGCTGGGCTTGTACAGTTCACAAAATGCAGGGTAGTACGCTGTTGTATACTTGGGTCTGAAAGTATTCGCTGCCGGCCAAGCGTACGTGGCTTTGAGTAAGTTCACATCAATTGAAGCCCTCCTGATAGAAGAATTAGACTGTTCGAAATTAACTGGGATTCGGCCATGTAATAAAATGACACCATCAATGAAATGAATAGACTAAGAAATATAACAAGCTAATTCTTCTATAAGGTATGCCGGAGGAGTAGGTACCTACCTACTTCTATAGCATATGGTTTATTCTAATAATAGTTTGGTGAAGAGGACCGACACTAAGTGGGAGACATGTGTATACCGAAACCCCACTCACACGGGACCGAACCACGAATCCAACCACCATCAATCAACTAAAAGAGGAATCATCAAGACTCTCAAGAAGGAATTAGACATCATCAAAAATGATCTTCAACGGAATGGCTACTCCAAAGCGATGTTAGAAAAGACCTTGGCTGAAAGACAGCAGGAGCCTCGCAAGGAAGAGAAGCCGTCACAACCAGTGCTTGCACTTCCCTACATCAGAGGATTATCGGAGAGGATAAGAAGAATTGGTTCCAAGTACAACATCAGAACCTGCTTCAGATCCGGTAACACTATCCGTAGCAGCCTCATCTACGCAGGCAAGGGAAATGGAAATAATCTCTGACTTTATGCCTCCAACTGTCAACCAACCTCCAACCTTATAAAGTACTTTTACCCAGTAGAGGAGAAGGAAATATGAAGAACAGGTAGTTGTTGGATCTTAAACACCTTCCGGTTCTGGTGCGGATGTTTTCAGTCGCAGACCCAGGACAGAGATATCAACCTGCCTTGGAACTTATGCGACTGTATTTCAACCGGAAATATACGCTATTGAATTCTGTTTGGAAAAAGATGAAACAGCAGAGCACATACTCTGTGGCCCCGCTGGGGACCGAATCAGGTTTTTAGAGTTCGGCAGAGCCGGCAGGTTTATAAAAAAAATCTTGAAAAATATTCGACTTTTTATTTTTAATTACAATTTAAGATAAGTAGAAAGATAAGAAAGGATGCATTTTTTACTTTTACTTTACTTTCACTTTATAAATCTTGATTTCAATATTTAAATGATGATGTAGATAATTTCGTGTAACATGCGGACATTTTGAATTTTCAATATCCAATCATTTCTGACCTCTCAACATCACTTTCAACTGGATGATCATTCCCAAACAGAAAAATAGTTTCCATAGCTTTCAAACATATTGCACTTGCAAGTTTCAATTTCCACAGGATATCACCCACAGCTATGATTTATCCATCGGTTCAATTATGATAACCAAAACCACAATGATTATCTGTTCATAAAAAACCAGATCTTTGATGATGGATATTCAGTCATTAGAACAAGTTATCACACGTTAAAAACAGCTTGAGGAGGTTCCTCAGGTTTTTCCCGTCGATCATCATTCAGTAAGTATTTGTTCTTCCGCATGAACTCTTCAACCTTGATGAATTCATCGTCGCCAGACTCGTTTTAGTATAATCCATTTGTTCATACCAGTTGGTGGTCAGTTTTGAAGTGAACAGTGATTGAGAAAGGCAAGGTGAGTTCAGGTACTAAATGTCTAATAAAGACATTACTGCAAACATGTTACATATTTTTGAATACTCAACGTATAAAAACAATTTTCTCAGCTATATAGGCAATCAAGTGACTTATGGCGGATTCCCACCAAACGAACAAAACCAAAACAGCAACAGTGTCGATTTCGACCAAACAAAAAGTTGAGTTGTTGAAACAGGAAAAATTTTGAAGACTTTGTGTCCAGGCGACTTTTTTGTCAACAATAAAATCTTCCGTCGGCGGGCTATGTTTATGTAAACTGATTTCGCTATGTGGAAACGATCTGCAACAGTATTATTACTCTATTTAAAGCAGAGGTGTCAATATCAATTTTACAGACGGCCATATATTCAAATTTAGAATGTGTAGGTCGGCCAAATTGCAATAAATAAAC